GGCCACTCAATGCTACGTAAGACCTGCATTTTGGATTAAGATTTTGTTCATAATAATCGTTGATCAATTTAAACAAAAAGTGTCAACAAATGTTTTTTCAAATTAATGAGCAATAATACTATGCTGTTGCATAAAGAAAATTGTCTTGTTCTAAAAAATTTTAAATTTCAACTTTGAAAAATAATTTTAGTCTAGTTTTATTTGCATATTAATATGAAATTTATTGAAATATGCAGTTAATAAAATTTACTAGTGTATTTTGATGCATCCATTCATTACAATTTCATGTAGATTTTTGAAGATACAAGCGAGGCAAATGGAAATAAAATATGTGCCGCGTACACCAAAAGCGATATAGCACTTTGTCCAAAGGTCAATGAAAATTAAATTTCTACAAATTTTTCTGAAAAGCATCAAGCAGTTATCATTGACTTAATCAACATGAATTCCAATTCAAAAATTGCAGGGCTACATGCGATGTGCAATGGGTATTCCAGTGAGAGGGCTGAATTATTCGATTGTAACATCTGTAAGCTGCGATTAGCAAATGAAAAATCTAGTTTAATTCAAACTTTACATTAGAAAAGTAAGATATGTATTTTTTCCTGTCAGAAGAATAACCCAGCACCATTCGTACAGATGATAGCAATAAAAGTAAGCAATTTTCTATAAATAAATCTTTTATTGAAAACAAAACCTTTTTACGTTTGCTAGATTCTTGCAATTTACACAGTTTTTATAGTGTACTGCAACTAAATAATGCTTCTAGAAATATTCTCTTGTAAACTCTTGTTTAGGGGGAAAATTTTCATCGCTGCATGCAACTACTTGTTGTACAACCCGATTCAGACTGCAGGTAATTAGTAATGATATTGCAAAAATTATGCCTTGAATTGCAGTATAAAAAACATGAATAAAATATTTTTTTCTTGTTGAAACAATGGTAGTTCTCAGCACATCAAAGATGCAGTGAAGCAATCGGATTCTATATTGCGCACTCAGTCGCTGATTCATCCAAAGATCATCACAGATTTTGCAATTTTTGATGGGATTCATGTAAGTAGCATACAGCATTTTTTTTATTATTTCTGAATACATGCGTTAAAGAAGTTATCATGTACGCACTGCTCCCATAAATCATCAAACTTTTGCACTAGCCCTAAAGCAAGACAGAAAATATTGTACCAACAAAAGCATTAAGTAACTATAACGTCTTATACATCTTGCTTTTTTTATACTTTTTCAAGTAGAAGAAGTATCACGCAATTTTGAGAAAATACTTTATGGAAACAACATTCCTATACTATGAAGTGTTATTATTTGTATACTGCAAACCTCAGATTGAAGAAGAAGGAAAGTACAAATTATGTCTTATGCAATTTCGATACCAACCCGGTTATAAAAATGATGGAACTATTCAGGTTCTTGGTTCTGATGAGATCGGGCATTTAAATGTAATTGAATCAGTTTGAGAATCCGCTGTCTTAACCAAAGATTTGGCAAACTATTTCTACATGAAAGCAAAATTAAACAGACAGATAACGGACCACTTTGTTGTAAGTAAAGATATGCGCATATGTATCAAATAGAAACAAAGAAAATAAGCGTCTACCTACTCAAGATTACTGAGCTGCGTCGCCTGGCTATCTTTATTCTAACGTTTTCAGATTGTTCAATTCTGCCTTTTTGGTAAAATTTTTTCATATTTTAGACAACTAGGGCAGCACAATGCGGTTAACTCCATGTAGTGTGATATTTATCAAGAGACAAATTTTACTTAAACATGAAATTAACATTTATTCTCGTCAAAAAATTGAATAAGATCAACCTTGCTGTATCAAGTAAGCGTGAGATTCCAAAAGCAATAAAAACTGCTCCAGGCTGAAAGATTGCTGGCTAGTGAGAATGATATGACACAAAAATTAGTTAAGCATGGTCAGAAAACATTTCCTTTTTTATTTTATTGTTGTTCATCACCACCCAAAGAATTTACGAAAAAGCGCTGCACACTTAATAATATAGAGTGGCTACACAAATTATATTGAAGTGATATATTTTGTTAAGTTTTTTTAAATAATTAGGCAGTTTCTGAATCGAATAAACATAGATTTGCAAATTTGAGCAAAAGGGCAGCAAAATAAATTTATCAAATCTCTCGAGATGCTTGTAACGATGACTAGAATTTGGATAAAACAGAATGCTTGGACATATTAAACGTGGAGCGGAAAATCGGAAAAAAATAAGCTATTCTTAGTATTTTAATTATTATTTTATATTGTTATTATTGTTTATTCATTATTAAAATGATCCTTTTACCACGTAGTTATCTCTCTTACATTAAGTAAGCCAACAATCCGCAGTTCCCCTGTTTTCCCCCCAAGGGTATCGCAGTGCATATAAAGCGATGTAACAACATTGAGAGTCACAATATCGAATAACCGAGATAATGGGACAGTTTACGCGATGCTCCCCGCAACTAAGATGCACTTATTTCTACACCGTTGAGGAGAGGGAGTAGTAGTATTAACGTAGGGAGAGGTATATATTTTTTTAGGTTCTTTTTGTTGTAAGCAGATGCATGAAGGAGTGAATACTTTATTTTCCTATTCTCTTACTTAGTTCCGCAAATAGTAATTTTTAGCGTAGAATAAGTTTATGTTTCATTGTATGAATTAGAAAAATACCCTCCTTACGAAATTAGGAGAATCAACCTATTTCATACCCTACTGCATAAAAGAACTATTTCAGCCGGAGTCTTTAGTATACGACTGGCAGAGTGTGACTAATTCTCGTTAGAACAACTCACAGAAAACACCACGTTCACACATGCTGCATATAAATTCTTTCATTTGCTGGTTTTAAAGCTGAGTCTAATATAGCAATGGAATTGTCTTTCTGTAACAGTAAAATTAATAGACTACTTGCTACATTACTGATAATGCTGTAACTTTGGATGCTTCACTGCCGTAACGGGCAGATATATTCCTTTCAACCTCTTCGTAGATTGTGGACCGCACCCGGAGTTACACAGCTGCACAGGGACGAGAGATGGTTTTAAACTTTGTTTGTTCATGCAATAAGTGTAATTCTAGTATTATTTTATATTTCAATGATAATAGTTGGACAGGGTTAAGCCTACATGATACTGTGTAATACTTAGTATAACGATTCTTAAATGCTGTCAGCTCAAATCGTAATTCATAAATTACTTACTTTTGCTATCTCCACAGTTCATGTTTGATTCACTTAATCATCGATGCCTGAAATGAGAGCGCGATATTTTTTGTTATGAGTAGCTGACGATCTTGTCTAGCAATGTGATTTCCCTTCCTTTTCTTTCATTCATGCTGCACTCTCCATATTTATCCAATCATCTAAAAGCAATTAGTATTGCCACTACGGCTTTAACTACCCCTTGCATTTTCAGATTACAAGAAAAAAATTGCGTTCAGCTATCTCACCTTTAAGTACTTCATATCTTTTTCTATAACGCTATGGAATGCAGTAATACAAGCACGGGATGGAATTGATAGCTATTTGATTAGGACACTGGCATTTGATGCTTTAACCTGTATCATAATATGATTCATAAAATACTTTCTAGTGCTTCTAATTCCCTCCTTAATCATCGTTACCTATATTACTATTTTCATTTATTCGAATTTCTTCATCCCTTTCAGCAATCTCATTCGTTTCGAATTCAATACAAGTATTTCCACTTCGCATCCTTTCTGTTTTCATTCTTCATTGTTACATAGCTTTAATTAAGCTGTTATTCAGTCTTTTTAACCTAATTAGATTGTTTATCAACATAAGGAATAATAACAAGATCTTGAACTGCGCTGTTCCATAAAACGCTGAACATATAACCTATAAACTTCCATCGGGCTGCAGCAACAAGCGCACAGTAAGTTGAGTTATCACCTATCCAAGCACTGGCAAAAAGTTTGTATCGCAACATAGATATCATTTCTGCTATAATAAATGAGATATTTCTATTTTTGAATATTCAGGAACATTCAGTAGCTAACTTAAGCTAATGACAAGTGGGTGGGTCTACTTGGAATATTTTAGAAAACAAGTGTCACATGCTATAAATCACATAAAACATAGATTTTATTTCCTGCTGCTGTTCAATCGCTTTCTTCTAAAAAACTCATTGGAATAACGTATTGCCACTGTTTAAACTCTTCTGTTAAGGCTCAGTTTATTGTTGGAAAGCAACAGAGAGATAAACGATTCGGCTCGCCGCAAGATTGATAAGGTGTATATTTTCGAAAATATACGCACTCTATAGGAGAGCATTGATCTGAAAAGAGGACATTCTAATTAGGCACGTTATTACACTCTTCAAAAGCAAGTAACATTCTCGAGCTGAAAGTTGTTTGCAGGATCAAAATTTCATTTTGTGTGCGATTTATGGTTATTCATGTAACACGATGCATCAAACAAAATAAAAAGTTAAGGGCAATTTCCCTACCTGTTGAAATTGCAATGTTTTAAAGTGACTCCACAATACGATTTGTGTTGCCAAGGCACTTAAACAGAATTCTCCCTTCGCAAGGCAAGAGCGCTTATTTTTACGCAATCACGCAAGCATCATGATTACACTTAAATCTCAACGTAGAAAGCTCCATTTCTACCTCTGTTTTTTTCCTTTTCATAAAAAAATATTACAGTGAATTTGAAGGACAATATTGGCTAATAGAGATGTAGCAAGAGAATCGAATTGGCAGTGTAAAAGAGAAAAATTGTTTGCCATTGTTAACACCGTATTGAAAGTTAAATCTGTCGTAATTGACAAGGTCATTTAGCCAAGCAAGTGCCTACCATGCAACTTTCTCAATTCTGTATCTGCCTTCATTTTTGAGTTAAGTTGTGCCTTAATCATTTTGAATATTTTAATTTGAATTGAGCTCATTTTCTCAAAATTACTAAAACGAAGAAAATGAAACGTTTCATACATTAGGAAATGAAAAATGTACAAGTGTAGTACGTTATCCGACGTAGTCTAGCGGTTAGGATGCGTGGCTCTCACCCACGTGACCCGGGTTCGATTCCCGGCGTCGGAATTGTTTTTTTTTAAAATTAGAGCCGTCCAACTAAACGTAGCTCTACTCTACGTAAAATGAAATTTTCTCCAGCACATATCATACTAATATAGCCACCTGTGGGGATCGAACCCACGACCTTCGGTTTACAAGACCGACGCAATGCCGCTATGCTAAGGTGGCCTCTGTTTTATACTGTATTTGTATTGCAAGGATGCAACGTATCAAATATGGAGGATTCCCCTGATGTTACATCCGATCAGCGAGCAAATTTGCTCCGCAAATAGCTAGTGTGCGTAGCTGCGTTTATTGCTGTTTCAGGCTAGTACAAAACGTTTTTATCTGTTACAGAACGAGCTGATGAAGCTTGCAAATGCAAGCGTACTGCACTTATTTCTCATTACTATGAATGCTTTGAAGTCATAAATAAAATGGAAATCAAGAACGTTCTACTTAGGTGTATCAAATGCACCCTGAAATGTCAATATTACTGCTCGATTTCGCGAAAATACTCTTTATCGACAAGTGCGAACGTAGCTCAAGGCCTATCAATTAGTGACTTTGCAGTTAGATATGAGCATATTTGTAAAAGCGCGTGAGAATGGAAAAAAATCTTATAATTATTTGGGTAAATGAGCACAAAGCATTCTCTGGGATTCCTTATAGATTCGATTATCATCATACCTTTCTCACAAAACATCCTCATGCTTCTATTTTCACATTCTCTATCTTGCAACTACTAAGTGCGGTAAGGATACCGCTCACTGAGTTTTTTTTTTAATCTTTTAGCGCATTTCTTGTATTTTTAACAAACTTTACTGCGATACTCTCTTCCGTAGCCCAGGACTTATTGTAACTTTTACTCTCATTTGCAAAATACCACCTCTTTAAAAAAGGTATCGTGACCATTGCGAACTTACATCAACTTCTTTTAAGATCCGTTTTAAAATCATTTAATAAATCGAAATATAACCCTTCGAGCAAAGGGAATTTTGTGCCATGGCAAACCGGCAACATTTTAAACTAGGGTATTCATATGCCATTCTTGCTTCTGCGCACTACTACAGAATTGAAGTTATGCTTGATGATCTTGCAGTCACCACCCGTTTTTCAATCCCAATTAATATTTCATTTTTGATCCATGCATACGCGCATCCAGCACGTTCGTTCTCACCTGCAGCGTAAATTATTTTTACCGTTATGGGTTTCAATGTTACACTCAACTATTATCGCGTTCCCACATTTGATTTTATAAAGGGCAACTTCTCGAGAAAATATGAAAAACTTAAGAGTTCCGCGTAATAAATATAAAATGATGTGCTTGGTTGTGTATCAGGCCATGGTAGCAGAAAAACTACATCGATTTAGCCAAAATACAGGCATGCAGAGTATCACATTATGCTGGAAAAGAACTAAATAAGCGATAGTACATTAAATCTATCGGAATATTCAATATTAGCTAGCCGATTATGTGTATTATTTTGCGGGCAGATAAAAATATGAAAAAAACCGTTGTGTTTGAGGTCTACTTCGAAGGCTGATAGTATCAACACAATGCTCCCTTCTTAAATGATCCGATTTTAAATGAAGATCAATGACTAAAGGTCAAAAGTATAACTGAAGGACTACTTTACTTGCGCTGAAGCAGAATGGCAGTATTAATGAAGCAATGATTCATTGCTACAAAGCTTTATGAATTTTCCATAATCGTAGATGGATCTTACTTGTGTATATCGTCTCTTAAAAGTGCAAAATAAATTTCATCTTAGGCTTGCTAATATGCCATACTACTGTGGAACATACACGACAGTAGCTTTTCATTTTCTCCTTGGCTCGCGAGAGAAGGCTACGAACAACGCTAGCAACGTCGATATTATTTTCAGCGAATACAAAGATGTTGTAAGTAAACAAACCGAACGCTTACCACAGGTGCTGCGTGATGTCGCATTGATAATGTCAACGCCACTTTCGCAAAACTGAACAAAAGGGGGAAAATAATGTAAGGTGGAATTCATTACAAGCAAGCGGTAGGGAATATGCTTCATTTTTAATTTTGTACTATAATCAGGTAGTCATTTTCAATCTAATACTTGTAATTGTGCTTCCCAGGCAATTTTTGAAATTGCAGAGAGTATGTATACTGCCATGCTTGCGTATGTATCACTGTACAGACACGTCTTTATTTTGTTCAACGAAAACATACTTGTTTATAATTTCCTTGTGGAGAATGATGGGGTGCCCTATTTGTAAAATTCTTTCTCTTTTGTCACTTCATACAACGACGTACTAATTATTTTTTTATGATTTTTTTGTGTAATGAGATATATCATCCATGACGTGCCGAGGCAACAGTACGTTTTGCGTCCAGCTATGCATGTTTGTGGGTTACGCGCCACGTAACCACTTTTGTTTGCAGTCTACGCTTTGTACCAATACGATTAGATTGCTGAAATACTATAGTGCCCCTAGAACTTAGAATAAAGAGGAGAGAGAATCCAGCATTATGTTTAAAGTTTGAAGCAGTCGTATACTGTACTAGGTAATGCTTCGCGCGTACGTCCAACCCCGAGCGATGACGCAGTATACTATATTAATTTTTCCTTCAACTGCACATATGGATATCACAAAAAAACACAGCATTACATAAACAATGTTTTCCCATACAACAAGGGACTAAAAACATAATTATTTCTCTGTAAGGCACGTCCCAATATACTACAATTCATTGAGTTGAAAAATATTTTGAAAAGGAATGATGTCGTTATAAATATATAGGTACGAATACTTTTTCCAGGTTCTTTAAATTATTCTGAAAAAAATCCAGCAATTGTTCTGTCATTTCCAGTTGTTTCATTCCATGTTGGAGCTTAGTTTTAGTATTTTTTGTATGGCTCTTTAGATTGTCCAGTATTGTAAACAATATTGCCTTTAATTTTGTTTCGTAACATTTATTCTTTGTTGTAGTAGCCTTTGTTCCGCCTAATTGGATCAACTTTTTTCAAACCTATTTCTTTTTTGTCCACACTTGCTGCAACAGTATATTTGTGTATGCTATTATACGTTTGAATGCTAGGCTATGAATTATATGTTTGGTAATTTTTTCGCACTTAGTAGCAAAATCAAGGAGTGTGTGCAACAACGTCATGACGTACATGTAAAGCGTGCTTCACTGCAGGCTTTCCAACCTTTCCTATACCATGTATGTTATTAATACGTTTTTTGTGAATGTACGGTAATTAAAGTTTCTTTAATTTTATGGAAAAACTTACGAATTATATCAAATTTTAAAAAATGCTTGCCTTACGGTTTACTATTAATAGCTTACCCTATAAGTGGAAAATCGATTATCATTTCCCAGGTATAATTCAAAGAAATATAGTACGTGCGACCTATAAATAAATTATTCTAACACTCGTTTGAAATACGTTGGTTCTGTCCAAAAGAAGATCTACAGTTTTCGCACTAATACATTCACTGTAACCGAGGTAAGAAAATAGAATGCCTTTATCAAAAAATTTGCACATTACAAGGCAAATTTCAGATGTGTTGAAATTGATAATATGCATAAAGCACAAAATTATTTTTAGCAAAATTTGTAAATATTGAGGCTTGGATTATAATGTATGCATTTTAGTTAAGTCAATGTAAAGATTTTTCCTGTAGTTATTGTTTTTATGATTTTCTTCAAAAGTGCTGTAGCAGCACACAATTGTACTTTTATGCCTTTCACTTTGATAGTTAAACAAAATTGAAGTGGATGAATGTTTTAAAAACTGTAACCGCACTTCCATAGTAAAGAAATTGCAGACAAGTCATTTTATTTAGGTAATCGTAATTGCAATACAATTGCGTCAATTAGATTAATAATGTTAGCCGCAAAGTTTTTTACTTTTGTACATGACAGAAAATGATAAAAATTGGTGCTTGTAGCATTCCTACTAGAAATACTTATAAATAAATATTCATACCTTACATAAGAAGTAATTTGTTTTTGCATACGTTCTGTGCAATTTACAGCTCTATTTTTATGAAGATTCTGGTAACTTATAATAATCCATTTTCCTCTCCCAAGATAAGCTGAGAAAAAAAGATAAAAATGCTACAATAATTTTACAATTTTATTCAATTAACTAAAAGTTTTGCTTATGACTATTTTGAAGATTTAAGGATAGTTTTGTGATACTTTATACAATTTCGCTAAGCATGGTTTGATGAGTTGCCAAAATTTTATACACACCTAAAAGCGAATTTAGTAAAGCAGGTTTATAGCTAAGAGATTGTTTACCCTTTTTATTAACTAGATTCATAAATTTTAATAGTGAGTATAGCCTGGAGTGTAGTATGCACAGTGTTTGGTAAGAATAGAACAACGTAGTATCGTACAATCAAGTTACGTAGTATCAGACAAATCCTGATTACGCAATGATTAGCCCTACAATGGCTACGGCTGAATTGAATATAACGGCGAAAAAAAATCTTCCGTATTGGCAAGTGGACAAAGAAAAAGCAATTCATCTTCAGGAAATACAAACTGCTATGACAACAAAATGGTAATATTTTACGTCTATGAATTTGGACTTGCAGATAAGCCCAGCAAGATTCTAGTAAACTCTGCATTGCAATAATCATGGTGGACAGTATGAACCTAGCTATACTTCAACCGAATCTTGTAGCCATACTTAAGCACAATCTACTGCACGACTTTTTTTTCAGCGTGAAGCAACTAACTGGAAGTTGCAAGTCATTAAATTGTCTCAACTATCACAATGACTATCAGAAAAGTTAGAAATAAAACAAAGGAAAAGCAGGTTTTTACATGTTGTAAAGAACGAAATTAATAACAAAAATTATGTTGTCTATGTACTTGCCAGGGCGTGCTCCAATTGATGACAGCGGCAAATTGAAATATTGGGATATGCCTTGCAAGTTCATATATCAATTTGACAAGTGTCCCGATAGTGAGAACTGTGCTTTCGCTCACACTAAAGAAGAAATATTCTTTCATCCTGCGCGCTTTATGG